GAGGGTGTCTTTATTTGCTGCTGGTAAGTCAATATTTTTCTTATGGTTCACTATATTTTTGTCTTTTGTTATTGTTGCAGAAGTGTGACCTATCTTTATTTGGTTTTGCAGCTGTATTTTGTTGAGCGTTTCCCGCTGGGATTGTCTGTTGACCGGGGTTCAACAAGCGCCATTGAATATTGGACCGAGGAGAAGATAAAGGAGAGGGTGGAGAAAGAGAGAGGCAGCAGCATGGGAATATTGCATGGAAGCAGTGGCAGCGAGGTATACTCAGCAGGACATGAGGACAGTTCAATTTTGCAGTCTTTAGATCCGGTATGTGGGAACTTAGAAAATATACGTGACCTGAGTTTAAGTCAGTCTATTAGCAAGGTTGATACTTGAGATGACAAGACTTTATTTAGAAATGACCAGTGAGATACTGGCATTTGATAACAGTGAACAATTTTTTTGATATCTTCATTTACTGTGTATGCAGGCATTGAAGGAGTTGAGGGCTCGTTTTGTGAAGAAGCTTGAAGAAAGCCAGAGGACGTTAATGAAGGCTCTTGATGATGAGCTACTCAAATTGCAGATTGGATTGAACGCCAAAGTTAAGGGGATGGGGAATGAGAATGCCACTGCTAAAGAAGGGGTTGAAACAGTTGGTGATGCAGCTGGTAACGATGCTGAAGAAGCTGATGATGTTGACCGAGTGGTGGAGGAGATTGCAAGAGAGGTTGCAGCGGGAAGTGCAGATGAGGAACTTGATGAGGATGAAACCAGCAAAGGAGATGATGAGAAGGATGAGGATGAGGAACAACATGACCTTCATGACAGGGAAGTCAGTGATGATTACATGGTTGAGGAGGTGGAAGAAGAGGGTGACCGTGATGGTCATGGAGGTGATGACGACGACGACGAGGATGAGGAGGAAGATGACCATGATGACAGGGAAGGAGGTCATGTGGTTGATGAGGAGGAAGATGACCATGATGACATGGAAGTCAGTCATGATTATGTGGTTGAGGAGGCCGAAGATGATGATAAGGAGGTTCGGGATTCAGATGATGAGGGGGAGGAAGCTACACATGTACTGACAATGACCCCTACCAATGTTCCTTTGCTGTTGGATCGAGAATGGGTGAGCAGTGACAGTGGGGAGGAAGGAGGGCCTGAAAAATCGATTGACCTTAGGAGGTCAACAAGGGCAAAGAGTTCCACAATTAAATCTCCGTGGATAGAATTCAAGGCAGCTCCGAGGACGAAGAGGCCAAAGGAGGAAAGTGACATCTTTTTCACTTTAATATCCCGTAGACCCAAGGGAGAGGAAGAGGGGAATATGTAAGTATATCCGTAGCTAGTGTTTTGTTTTTAAATGACACAGTGTGCCCTGAAAATGACAGCAATAGGATTGAAAATGACAATAACATACATGGGAATGACAAGTATTGATGTCCCCAACACCATACTTTCTGTCACTGACATCTGACAATGTTTGCAGGACTGTCATCAAAATGTTTGATGAAGATATAGACCGACAACAGCTGTTTTCCCTGGGTGGAGTGAACAGAGTAAATAACAGGGTATTTAGAATGCTCTGTCCCTGCACCCACGATTATGTTTGATAATGTTTGGTGAGATTATTGTACCAGAATGACGTTTTCACTTGTGTTCTGTAGGTGCTTAATTTGGTGTGCAAGGCAGTGATGGAGGACATGAAGGCAGAGTTGGGGCCAGGGAAGAGGCACATTTTCGATGTTGATTTCATGGTGAGGTTGCATAATTCCAAATGCAAATACCAATGACAGCAATTGAATTGGAAATGACTTGTTCTCTGTTAATGGATTAACAATTTCATGTCATGCAGAACATGATGGCACATGATCCAACCTGGAAAGCCCAAAAATATAAGAAGCTCTTTCTTCCTGAGTTCGTTGGCTACAACTTAGCTGAATGTGATTTCATAATTGGTCCTGCTCTTGTTGGCCAACACTGGTTTTGCGTTGCCATTCAGCCTAGCACATTGGATTTCCACGTAATAGACTCCATGAGGAACCATTTCGGAACCAAGGACAGAAAGCAGAAGAAGAAGGTTGTCATCAAAGACCCAGTGGAAATGGCTGTGGATGATTGTGTAAGAAAAAACTCATTATCTTTACCCTAGTTTTTGAACTTGGAAAATCATTAAACTTTCTATGTTGGTCCTGAATGTTGTTGCAGAGGAAGAGGCTCAATATTATACTGGACTTGGTCAAGCCAGGATTGGTTGGGAAAAAGCCAATGTCTCCCATGATATTTGCAGCAGTTCCCCAGCAGAATAACCTGTCAGTTTTGTCAAATTCGATTTCTGTGGGGTAAATGCACATGTCAGATGTGTTAACTAACTGTGCTGATATTGTTGCGTCCACAGGAGGGATTGTGGGGTGCACTGCATGATGTGGCTGAGAAGATGGGAACCTGGTGTGACCCTTACCTACACAGAGGAAGAAGTTGCTGGCTTTCGTCGTGACCTGACATGGTGGTTGGTCAATCATGAACAGAATGAAAAACGTGACGAGGCATTGGCCCTTATTCGACGACCACAACCAACCAAGAGCACAAAGTCCAAGAAAAGGCGTCGGTCTTAGGTGTCTCGATGTTAGGGTCATAATTCACTTGTCCTCTGTTAGATTGCTGTATGTAATGTGCATTGTAGGCTGACCAAAAATTTACTGTGTATTGTTATGGTTAACAAGATTGGTGTCCATAAATGTATGATAGTTGAGAACCATGATGCCAATTTATTCCCCAGTGACATGAATGAATCTGGTTTTAACCACACAAAAACAGATGATGACAACAACCCCATTGGACATGTGCTATTGGTTTTCATTTTTTGTTCAGGTCACTAAATTTTACTTCAATATATCCTGTTGGTATCCAACAGAAAATGACCAGAACAAATTTAAAAATGATACGAAGTGAAGCGAATATGACAGCGATAATGACAAGGATCACCTGGTCTGATTTTACAACATCAGTTCAGCACGGCTGTCAGCTTATGCTGATAGCATCACTGCCAATGACCAGAACAAATTTAAAAATGACACGAAGTGAAGCGAATATGACAGCGATAATGACAAGGATCACCTGGTCTGATTTTACAACATCAGTTCAGCACGGCTGTCAGCTTATGCTGATAGCATCACTGCCAATGACCAGAACAAATTTAAAAATGACACGAAGTGAAGCGAATATGACAGCGATAATGACAAGGATCACCTGGTCTGATTTTACAACATCAGTTCAGCACGGCTGTCAGCTTATGCTGATAGCATCACTGCCAATGACCAGAACAAATTTAAAAATGACACGAAGTGAAGCGAATATGACAGCGATAATGACAAGGATCACCTGGTCTGATTTTACAACATCAGTTCAGCACGGCTGTCAGCTTATGCTGATAGCATCACTGCCAATGACCAGAACAAATTTAAAAATGACAACAAGTAATGCGCCATTAACAAAAGCTAACATCCCCATAACAGTAACTTCCTTTCATGTATTCAACAAGTGGACATTAAGATACTAGCCACACTTAATGCTCCGTTATCACTGAAATAACTATCAGCTTACTTACAAAAAAATGTCTCCACCTAGCTCCTAACTACAACCCCAGTCCCAAAAAAGTTGACAAGGGCGGAGCATACAACTATGTACACCAAAAAATGACCCATCCCCACTGTACTCGAAACTTCATGATGGGTTAGGATTTCTGCAATTCCTCCTTGTGTGTCCAGGCTGGTGGCATCTTCCACAGTGGTATATCCGTTTGTTCTGGAACTGTGATTCATCCCTGTTTACTTTTGGCCTTCCTGGTGGTCGGGATGTCATGGGAGGTAGCAAGAAAACTTGCTCACTGACATTTTCTATTCTATAGTAGTCATTTGGGTGAGGCATGTCTGTTGTTACCACAGGAATCATACTGCGAGCATAGATCTTTTCTTGTGATGACTTTTTATAGCAATTATCAATATAATCATAAACATTGCCGTGCACAATCTTGATGGCAGCACAAGCATGGGAACAAGGGATCCCCGTCATTTGCCAAGATCTGCAACTGCATTGGTGTAGTCCAAGATCAACCCGATGGTCTCCACGTGATGTTGTCACCTTCACTCTTCCCCCACCATAATTTTCAGCATACATATGGTCAGACCCAGCCACCATATCCAGCACCTTACTCTCTATATTTGGACCAACGCAATTCTTCCATTTGGTCATACCCACATAGGAGGCATGCAGCTTTCTTGCAACTTTATCTCGGTGCTCATAGATCAATTGGGGTACAGTATGCTTTCTCTCATTCACCATCCATGCATTGAATGATTCTGCTATATTGGTTGTAATATTGTCCCATCTTTTATATGGGAACCTACTTTTAGCCCACCTATCTACATCCCCATGATGAATAAGCCAATCAAATAGCCTTGGAGAAAAGGATCTCATGTCATCCATTGCTGCCTCAAATTTCTCATCCGTCCTTGCGTATGCAATTTTATCCAATAAATATAGTGCATCCTCCTTTGATCGGCCATTTGTCCTTGTTTGCCCCTTATTCATTTTCATAACTTCTGAACTAAAATTCTCCTTGATGTGTCTATAACAAAAGGCATGCCTTTGACCCCCAAAGATTGATGCCACTCCTCCGATGATAGCATTGTGTCGATCTGATACAATCGTTACTTCCACAGAACCCAGGATTTTTTTTATCATATAGAAAAACCACGTCCAGTCATCTAGTGTTTCTCCCTTCACAATTGCAATTGCAAATGGCAGCAGCTCGTTATCTGCATCATAAGCTGAAGCTGACAACATTGTCCCCTTGTATGGTCCGCTTAAGTGAGTTCCATCAACATACATAATATGCCTCGCGCCACCCAGGAAACCCTCAATGCATGCCCCGTAAGCAATGAAAACACGCTCAAACCGGTTCCCAATAGCAGTCCATTCAGCCACTGATTTTTCATCTGTTTCCTTTATCCTTTCGCATAGCCATGGTATGAGCATGTATGATTGTTCGGCCTGCCATATATGTCTTCCAGTGACTTCTCTCTTGCTCTATAAGCCTGTTTATATGTTAGATCAATCCCATACTCTCGTTTCAACCTCTTCCTTATCTCAGAAGTGCGCTTGTCTGCATGATCCCTCATCTCATCAATTATTATTGATGAGTTCAAACTAGCTCTTCCACTATGCATCACGTCCAAGCTATCTTGGGCAGAATGAACATGCCGGTTTATAAATGTCGTCACTCGTAGCACATCACAACTCTTCCCCACATGATTTGCACATAGCTTCCATGGACAACCCTCAACTTTACACCTTATCGACATGAATTCCTTGCTATTCCTCATATACTTGGCCACAAACTTGTTTGCAAGTGCAAACTTGTATACAGACACCCGAAATACATCTGCACTAGGAAAACGTTGGCCCACTCCTGTTAAAAGTCCCCTCCATTCCGCATGAACCATCTCACTACCATCCGTATCTTCAGCTCCGATAGATTTATCCACATTAGGGGGCCCACTTATTTCATCATTGTCACATTCACGAGCATTTTCTTCACTGAGCCAGCCATAATCACAACACAAACTAATGGGAGACGCATCCAGTTCAGTTTGCTGTGACATGCCCATGAATCTCTCTGTTCTGCATTCATAATGACAAGACTCGTTAACACAAATGACAAGAAGAAATTCATAAATGACAACAAATAGTTAGGACAAACTCCACTTACATTTCTACATTGTCCCTTGGTTGGGGACCCACTTGTCTTTTTTCGGCGACATACACATGACCGCTGTTCCCATTGTATTGAAAGAGGTTATACATTTCAGCATTGTCATGAAGGTCAATCAATGTCTTCTCATCAAAGGCCACTGTGTACTTAATGTCATAATTTCTTCCATCGCCACCAATCCACTCAGATATCATTAGCCTCAATTCATCAAGTGTCAGCCCATCCTTAATGCTTCTTAACCTCACGCCACCTCCATTATATCTCACTTCACCTTCACCATTTGTCACAAATTTCCCCCCCACATGAAAATAACAGAACAGCTCCTTCCCACAAGATGACCCAGCTGCGAAATTCATTTATCTTCATTACCTGCACTGATAACATAACAGAAGTCGAATGATTATATGACTTAATACCATCATCATCAACTTACACGACCAACTTAGGGTTTGACACATTCATGCTTATAATTTGCAACAAAACAATCATTTCTTTCCTGTCCACACTAATGCTTCGTTTTCTCAGAATCAATCCACTCCATTATTCGAATCTCCCTCCAACATTGTCCATTTATCTGACACTAATCACTCTAACCCACTTGTGACGCCATCAAACCCCTCTCCCTCAGTGTTTTTCCTTCCCCCTGCATTCACCCTCTGATCACCGTCCTTCCCCCCACACTTTCTATATACCCACGCCGTCTCCATGCTTCGCCACCCTCTCCACCTCAAAACCATCCCCACATCGACGACATTGCCATCCAACGGGAAGAGGAAAATCAACCGGCGCATAAAGGAGAGGGACAAAAGACACAGGCGAACAATATAGTCACTGGATACTAACCTCGCTTCCGTCGTTCAGTTGTTGCTTCGCGCGTTCATGCTCCCACGTTCGTGGTCCCTCCCAACTTTTTCCTCCAGCTCCCGCCACAACTTCCACACTTCCACCGGTCACTTTTTCGGTTTGCATATGAGGGGCTGTTTTGTAATTGTGCAACATTTGCATAATCCCAAATCAGGCAACACTTCCCTATCTGGTAATACATTTGCTTAGCTTCCCATTCTGGCATTTTATTATTTCAGCCTTCTTTATCTGTCATTTTCCCATCAATTTATATGCTTAAATTACTTTTTAAATCCGCAATCATATTCGCCTTGAGTTTTATCCCCCCCCCGGGCGATAGATATTTTTTTGTTAATTATTTTATGCGAATTTTTAACTTTGTTTTGGACAAAATTTGAGGTCTGAGTTTATTTGATATATTTTTTAGACATAATATATGAATAAATTATTTTTCATGTGGTAAAATTTGCGTTTTTTTTTTTTTGGCGGTTTGGGCGCAATAGCTTTGTTTTTGCCCATTTTCGCATTTATATATTGGTTCAGGCGAAGCACGCCAACCGTATCACGATTCAAGGGTTGCAGCTTTCAGTTACACTTTCCCGTTGGCTGCCGTGGGTTAGCTCCACCTTCCAGTCTCGTCCATTGCACGCAGATCTTGAAGTTCCTCGATTAACGTATTCGCTTTGCACTTTTTCTCATGTTATATCTTGCGATGATTTTTTTGGTTGTTGATATCGAATATTGAAGGATTTGTTTCAATCTGAATCTGGCAGCGAAGCCTAATCAAGGAAATGGGAAGCTCAGGATTCTCATGGAAATTGCCCGATCATCCCAAGCTTCCTAAGGGCAAGCCCGTAGCCGTCGTCGTTCTCGATGGATGGGGCGAGGCCACTCCAAATCAGTACAACTGCATCCATACAGCTGAAACACCTACCATGGATTCCCTCAAAAACGTATGCGTATTCCGATCTGTTTTTCTACCTTGATCTATATGCTCTTCCAATATTCTGTAGTTATGTTATTTTTCCTTTATCAATTTTATTTATTCTAACGGTTAATTTATTCATCGGGGTTCTATTTGTTTATTAATGATATATAGGGCGCTCCTGAAAAATGGAGATTGGTCAGAGCTCATGGAACTGCAGTAGGGCTTCCATCCGAGGATGATATGGGTAACAGTGAAGTCGGTCACAATGCTCTTGGAGCAGGACGTATTTTCGCTCAGGGGTAAACTTAACCTATCCTCTCGATTTAGCATAAACGGAACTAATTTCTAATTTTTAAGATTCGTTGTTTCATGGCCACTCTATCTTCACGCTGTTGGATAGAAAAGAATTCAATCGTATTTGACTTGAAATTGTTTGGTATTATGAGAGTTCTCCTGTCAATATATCTTATTTGCAGTTTGCGTGATCTGCACTGTTTCTTCCATCCTCTTATAGGTTATATGTGTGTATATATATATATTTCATTTGCCTGCATACATTTAAGATCCAATAAATTTATCTTAAAAAAAGTGGTCTTCATCTGATCACATTTCTCATTTTTCAAAACTTTAATGTTCTCGTGTATTTGGAGGACAACTGCATGTTGTAATTTTAATATCATCTTCAGACGTATTAGAACTTACTATTGCGTGTTAACCTCCTTGAGTTATTAAAATAATGTGGATTTGCCCACTAGTTTCATTATTTGTTCTTATGATTTTCTTGCTTATCTTTAATTACTGGCTTATCAGTTGAGATTGGCGATATCTTGCGTATGTGCAGTGCGAAGCTTGTTGACATTGCTCTTGCCTCTGGAAAAATTTTTGAGGGTGAAGGTTTCAAGTACATAAAGGAATGTTTTGAAACTGGCACACTGCACCTCATTGGGTTACTTAGTGATGGTGGAGTTCATTCCCGACTTGATCAATTACAGGTATGTTTACGGATACAGCTTCTGTTCTTTCACGAGTCAAATTTATTTCTCTTACCAACTGTTTTTCTGCAGTTGTTGCTCAAAGGGGCTGGTGAACGTGGCGCTAAAAGAATCCGTGTCCATATCCTCACTGATGGCCGTGATGTTTTGGATGGCTCTAGCGTGGGATTTGTGGAAACTCTCGAAAAAGATCTTGAAGCATTGCGCCAGAAAGGTATTGATGCAAGGGTTGCATCTGGAGGAGGTCGCATGTATGTTACAATGGACCGTTATGAGGTAAGGAATATAACTAGTATGCGTCACTCCTCTATTGCAGTTTAGTTTTAGTTGACCTCCATTGCTGGGATGAATATTTATGCATACTGTCAAGACGGCCCTTTTAATGGAGAATAATGAGTCTTTATCTTTGTTCAAAATCTTCTAAAACAGCTCTAGAGCTTCTAAAGAATCTTAATAATATGAATGAGAATCAGGATTTGCATTCAGTTTAAACAGAAAATTAGAGTTTAAATTTGTTTGCTGTTTTCACTGGTGGGTTATTGTCAACAAACATTTGAAATTTGAAAAGATTGGTTGAAACTCAATTATCTTTTATATTTCTGGTATAGTATTCTTATATTGATCTTGGGTGCAGAATGACTGGAATGTGGTGAAACGAGGGTGGGATGCCCAAGTTCTTGGTGAAGCACCCCATAAATTTGCAAATCCTGTTGAAGCTGTCAAGAAACTGAGGGAGGATCCAAAGGCCAATGATCAGTACTTACCCCCTTTTGTTATTGTTGATGAGAATGGGAAGCCTGTTGGTCCTATAGTTGATGGCGATGCTGTTGTTACCTTCAACTTTCGTGCAGATCGTATGGTTATGATTGCTAAGGCTCTTGAATATGAAAACTTTGACAAATTTGATAGAGTTCGTTACCCAAAAATCCACTATGCTGGAATGCTTGAATATGACGGTGAATTGAAACTTCCAAGTCATTACCTTGTTTCTCCACCAGAGATTGATAGGACTTCTGGTGAATATTTAGTGCATAATGGTGTCCGGACTTTTGCTTGCAGGTAAGCTATCATCCGTTTAATCTGCAGCAGAACTTCCAATATCTTTTGAAATTTTATTTGTAATTGTTTATGTTTCTAGATGTTCATTCTATTCTTGATTGTGACAAATTACAACTATGCAATGGACAAAATGTTAATTTATTAACTTTTAGTTAGCTTAGCCTAATGAAAAGTTGAAACTATCTCTAGAACTTATTTTCTATTATATGATAGGCCTTATATTAACATAATTAATTTCTTTCTTTCTTTCTTTCTTTTTGTAAAAATAGTGAGACTGTCAAATTTGGACATGTGACATTCTTCTGGAATGGAAACCGTTCTGGGTATTTTAACCCGGAGTTGGAGGAATATGTGGAAATTCCTAGTGACTCTGGGATCACATTCAATGTCCAACCAAAAATGAAGGCGTTGGAGATTGCTGAAAAGGCAAGGGATGCTATTCTAAGCAAAAAATTTGATCAGGTACTTAGACTAATTCAGGTAATATTCGAGAGCGATAGTTTGGTTGGAATAGCTTTCATATGCCTGTTTGCTTTATATGTTGCACAGGTACGTGTTAATTTACCAAATAGTGACATGGTGGGGCATACAGGTGACATTGAAGCAACAGTTGTGGCTTGCAAGGCAGCTGACGAGGCTGTGAAGGTATGAACTTTCTTTTTCAAATTTATCTGGAACGTTTTTGCAGCATAGCACATTATGTGCTTTTTGATCTATGTGGAATTTCAGAATTCACTGTGGTGCTAGGGTTATCAATCAAATATAAAATATCAAATTAATAGGGGCTGTATTATTTATAAATAATAAACAATATGGCTCCTTTCAGCTCCCGCCCTCCCCAAAAAAAAAAAAAATCTCTGCATTTTCACGGGATTTCATGCAACTTTATTTCTATTCATTCACTCATTCAATATTTCTCCACATATTTAGATAGTGTTTAACTGTTAAAAAGTGTGTAATTTTCCAGGAAGTTTTCAAGTTATTATCTCTTCTGTGTATTGTGGAGGGAAAAAAATCTAGTTATTGAGAATAAAGGGACAAGAAAATGGACATCATATATGAAGCTCATGCTTTTCGGGCAGTGTTAGACGGTTTATCAGTTACATTTTGTATATTCTGAAACATCTTTAACATTACATGGTCAAAAAAACATCTTTAACAATAATCTAACTTCATTTGTTCTGCTTCCATTGTTTTCAGTTTGTTAAAATGTGTAGTGGGATTCGGTTTGGGGGGAGGGGAGGGGGAGTTTGTAATGTAGCAATGGCAACCCACGATTGTTTGTTTTGGCATTTGTTTTATTATATATGATTCAACCAACATATATGATAATTGCAGATGATCCTTGATGCGATAGAGCAAGTGGGTGGAATTTATGTTGTCACTGCTGACCATGGAAATGCTGAGGACATGGTGAAGAGGGATAAATCTGGAAAACCTCAACTTGACAAGGAGGGAAAGATCCAAATTCTCACATCCCACACTCTTCAGCCTGTAAGTTTTCATAAATTCTGGTAATAAGGATATGGATCTTGCCTGCAGGACCTTAACAATGTGATTTGCTTCACCGGCTTATGGATGACCTTTGTAGTTTCTACCAGTTCTGTTGATTAATATTAATAGCTCTGGCAAAGTGTGGAAACACCGACATCTTTGCTTATTGGCCTGTTAACAGTGTGGTCTTTACCAATACAACAGTGCATGCATATGTGGCACGCTTCCCCCTGTCCCCAGTAGAGTCCAAATTCTTTAAGTAGTAAAACGAGTCATTTTGATCAAATTTTAGCCTTTCATTCAATATGGATAATCAAAACTCCTTATATTTTGGTGCACAAAATTTCTTCTCTAATTAAATATAAAAACCCATTCTTAATAGCTTTGTGTTGTTTATTCTTTTTTGGCGTGAATTGGATTGGTTTAATTGACTGAACTTTTAGTTTGTTTAAAATAATAATCATTATTCTGCCTCAACTTGACAGAATCCAGAGGCTTTCCCAACCCTTTTTCCCCCTCAGTGCATAGTTGCATTTATTGTGATGGATGTTGAGGTCCATGTTTGTTCTAAATTTGGGTGCTTTTTTGCTGTGCTTGTCCAGGTGCCTATTGCAATTGGAGGTCCTGGTCTGTCACCTGGTGTCAGGTTCAGACAAGATCTTCCCCAGGGTGGGCTTGCTAATGTTGCTGCCACTGTGATGAATCTCCATGGATTTGAGGCTCCAAGCGACTATGAACCAACTCTCATAGAAGTGGTTGACAACTAGGGTAAAAATATCTGAGAATTTTTACTATCAGAAACGAGTTAGTTTTAGCTTTTAATTGAATAATTGACAATTCTTGCCCCACTATACTTCAATGTGGGTTTTTGTCTTTTTAAGTTATTGTCTGTATTATCCTGGGCTGGTGAACGAGGATCACTTAGTAATGCGGCTCTTTTTGTCGGACTCCGATGGTTTTTAATATACGAAGTTTTGTTACTTTTTATGGCCTTCTAGCATGCAAGACGATCTCTATACATCTTCCTGCATTATCATATTATTGATTGATATTATAATAACATCAATTTCGAGCATGTGTGAATCTAAATCAAGATTTAGAAGTGATATAATGTGGCCCGAGTTCTTTCCTACATTCAAACCAAGTTAATGAAATTTCAGCCTATGTATGGAAAAGAAAAGGCTAAGTCTGTCCCGCTCAGGCGCATCAGCAATATTCATTTGAGTGGGTTGAGGATCAGGACACTAGGGGTGTCTACTTTTGGTCCAAATAATCGCACTGGCTTACTCTCCATCCAAGTATGGCATCTCGAAAGCTTCTAGGTCATGAGGAATTCTGAACTACCTGTCAAACATTCTACTAATCTACTGAATTTCCTTCATCAATAACAACTTTAAAAAAGGTCCTCCAAGAACTCATCCAACCTATTGATTCTCATAAGCTAAAATCTTAATTGTAAAAATTTATTTGTATTTTTTTTTATTTGGTCCAGTTTAACCCTGTTTAGCTAATTTAAATGATTATAAGCGCAAATAAAATTATTATTATGAGCAAAAAACTGCAATCTCTTTTAAGTTATCATGTCATCATTGCCAATTAAATTATTGTCTCATGTAATCCTATTCTATCACATTCAAGGCTTCAAGCCTCTTGTGCATCCCATGTAATTTGAAGAATTGGTTATTCTCTTCAAAATCGCTTCTTCCTTTTTTTTTTTTTTGGCTAAAAACCAAAATTTGGACCGCATATTGCGCGGTATTTGAGATTGGAAGCTGCACTATTTGTGGATCCTAATGAAATGTGCGACTTCCATTAAGAATTAACTTGTATAGATATGGCTATTGATGATTATAAAATACCGTTTATTCTGCTACTGAAGATTGAAGTACATGCTTCATCTTCTCATAAATAGGCACCAAATTGGTCGACTTCCTAATTTTAGGCTTGAGCATTGGCAAATGTTAGACCTCCACATTTCAGCCATGAAAAACAGAGTCAAAGTTCACACTGCAAAATTATCATCTCCCATATTTGTCTCCTATTCTTTTGGGATAATTCTATCATCATCCTACCTATTCTGTATTATCTCATCCAAACCCAGTAAATCAATCTCTTTCTTCTTTGCTTCTTTCTTCTTCCTTCCTTCCTCATTTTGTGATCTTCTCCAATTCCCCCTCCGTTTGGCTAACCATCACAGGATGCATTTCAACACATAGAGATTACAATAAAATACATTTTCTTAGTTTGATATCACAAAAAGGGGATGGAAGGATTGGATGGGTTGATAGAGAGGCTTTTGGAAGCGAGAAAAAACAGAGGCAAGAGGATTCAGTTAATTGAATCAGAAATTCGTAACCTTTGCATCACTGCTAAAGAAATCTTCCTCAGCCAACCCAACCTTCTTGAGTTGGAAGCTCCCATCAATGTTTGTGGTACTTCTTTTCTCAAATTCACACATTTTAAGATCTCACTTAAAACAGAACACACACATAGAACAATCTAAAATCAATTGTTGTTACATTATAAATGCCTCAAAAAATCTGGAATTTTGAGTATTTTGAATGTTCAGGTGACATACATGGACAATACCCAGATCTGTTGCGATTGTTCGAGTACGGAGGTTTTCCGCCGCAATCGAACTACCTCTTCCTCGGAGACTACGTCGACAGAGGAAAACAGAGTGTGGAAACCATATGTCTGCTTCTCGCCTACAAGATCAAATTCCCGGAAAATTTTTTCCTTCTGCGAGGGAATCATGAATGCGCCTCCATCAACAGAATCTACGGATTCTACGACGAGTGCAAGAGGAGATTCAGCGTGCGACTCTGGAAGATCTTCACCGATTGTTTCAACTGCCTGCCTGTGGCGGCGGTGATCGACGACAAGATCCTATGCATGCACGGCGGCCTGTCGCCGGAGATGGAGAACATGAATCAGATAAAGGATATAGAGAGGCCAGTGGATGTGCCGGATCAGGGTTTGTTGTGCGATTTGCTTTGGGCCGATCCGGATAGAGACATCAAAGGTTGGGGTGAGAACGACAGAGGAGTATCCTTCACTTTTGGACCTGATAAAGTTGCCGAGTTCTTGAAGAAGAACGATCTGGATCTCATATGTCGGGCTCACCAGGTACCTTTTTCGTCTACTTTCTCCTTAACGACGACGATTCATAGGAAGTTCCAGGATGATTATATTGAGTGATCCCAGAATGTCATGATTCCAATGAGTCAACTAAGTTAACAAACAAATGCTCCCATTAATATTTATGATTGTATACCAACTAGTTATTGCTTAATATGGTAAGCAGTTTTATCCTCCTGAGCAGCATAAAACAAGTTTAAATCTCATTAAGCATACTTATTTGGAAGGATTTAACAATATCTATAAGTCCATATCTGCACATAATTACATAGTCAAACACAACATAATGAGTATTAATATCGCATCCATAATCAAGCCCATCAACAATTTGAGTTTTGGAATATATAATGCATATTATATATATATATTAAATACAACTATATACTCCTTTGGTCCTTAATATAAGACCTATTTAACTAATTTGATTAGATTAAAGAATTTAGGTAAGTTAGTTAATTATAAAAAATATGACATGTTTTTTTTAAATACCATAATCGTATTTCTTAATATACTCTCTCCCTCTTCTACTTGATTGTGATTGAGAGATATTGATAGGGGTAATTTAGAAAAAACTGATAAATATGAAAAATAGGTCTTATATTTAGGACCAAAATCAACTTAATAATTAGATCATATATTAAAGACCGGAGGAGTATTTGTATAGTTTGAGCATAGCCGATTAGGTAGAGCAGCATACCTTGCCTAATACCCAACCTTGTCCCGCTTTAGGCCACACTTACAAATACCCAATTTTGGGTTGGGCTAGGCATAACTTTATTAGGCTTGCAGACCGTGTGATAGTCGTCATTTGTTTTCAAATAGTCCATCTTCGTTGATGATGATATGGTTTAAAGATTGAAATGAATGATGATATGGTTTAAAGATTGAAATGAATGCCAACACCCTTCTGGTGAAATTGAATCAATGATAAGAGAGAATCAAATTGGTATGATTTTGGGAATAATATAATTAATTAAAAGAAAAGGTTTGTGATTATATTGACAGGTGGTGGAGGATGGGTATGAGTTCTTTGCAGAGAGACAGTTAGTGACAATATTCTCTGCACCAAACTACTGTGGAGAGTTCAACAACGCAGGAGCACTCATGTGTGTGGATGAGACATTGCTTTGTTCCTTTCAGATTCTCAAACCTTGGAGAGGAAAAGCCCCTCCCTTTGAATAATAATCATCATCATCATTCTGCTTTCTCTCTCCATTTCATCATTTGGAAAAGAAAATACCAGCTTCTGGTGTTTGAATATGTGGGTGCATATATAAATGTAGAAAATTAAATATTTTTTTATTTGATTTGATTTGATTTGATAGTGAGTAATGTACCAGTTTGTTCATTAATGATTCTAGCTTGTGTTTCCAAATCACTTGTTAACTTTATATAGTCCTTTCAAATGGCCACAAAGAGAAGAGAGCCATTAAATGAGTATGGGCTTTATTTCTTCCCCCATCATGTGTTCAGGTGGTTTTGTGCTGCCTCATGAGTTCATTTGACAAGAAGAGGAAAGAAATAGTGAATATAAACGAGAGATGTGAACTTAATTTGTTGGCATTGCCTCTTATTCTTAATATAAAAGTTAATTTAAGATAAAATATGATTTTAAATATATAATATCTTAATTTATTTTCTCTATCACTTCCTATTCTTAATACAAGATCCAATTATATTAAGAATAAAAAGTAGGATTATATTTATAATTCCTCCCAAACTAAATTACGCAACTTATAAATTGAGATATGATATAATGTTGTGCGAGAATATTTTAAAGAGATCATGTTATTTTTTTCCTTTTAATATAATTAACTGCTTTATTTTATTTTTTTTAATCTACATAAATTAGTTAACTAGTTTTTATGTTAAAAATAAAATGAGATAATATGCTACAACAGAAGCAATCTTCTTATGAAGGGGAATAATTTTAGAGCAAACGAAAAGACTTACATATGATGTTTATTGACTGGAAAAAAGTTTACAACCGTGTGCCAAGTCAAAGTTAAAAATATAAGGTATGAATGAGGGAGCAATAACATTATAGTTAGGGAAGTGAGACAAAAGACTTTTGTATAGAAATCACATTGGCCTACGAAATCCCATAAAGAAAATTGCAGTGATGCCTATGAATCGCCACAAGATATCTAATTCAAAACAACAAACAACAGAGTAATATTCATCACAAGTAAATGGATGTCATGCGAGTCTTAAAAACTCTGCATTATTTATATAGGTTAAGACTTTCTTATAAGAAGTTGAATCAAAATGAATTCAAATTCAAACTCAAATTTTGATATAAAGTGTAAACTAAATTACAAAGACGTGAAAAGTAATCCCTCTTTTCTAATTTGGCAAGCTTTGCTTTCCTTGGCATATAGAGTGAAAGCTGACAGAATAACTGCAATTAATAAATAATCACTAATTATATCTTACTCATATTCATGGTTTCAATTACCTTAGCATCCACGAAACATCAAAACGTAACATGATCAATATCTTGTACGCCTGTCCAAACGCGCACACTCTCAGAAGTCATATGTGAGAGATATCTGTGAATCATTGTTTGACCACAATTAAACCAATATACTACCTCTCATTTTTAATATAAGATATCGTTTAATTTTTATTTTGATCTTAAATATAAGATACTAATTCATTTTGTCTCTCATGTTCATTCTTTTTTTTTAAGACAATCCTTCTAATAACAATAGTTCTAACCAATAAACTTAATTAGCAAGGATATTTTAAGAAAGACAACACCTATTTATTACAAATAACTAACTTAATTTGTTTTCTTAATCTACTCAAATTAGTCAACTAGCTCTTATATTTAGAATCGGAGGTAGTACTACATCTGTTTCTTAATATAAAACCTCAGTTAACATTCAATTTTATCTTAATTAAATATAAGACCTCAATTTATTTTATCTCTTATATTTATCTATTTTTTTTCTTAAAGTAGTCATTATAGTAGTTACACATATTAAATGTTTCATCAAATAATAGTCTAAGCAATATTAATAATTAGTAAGAATATTTTAAGAAAAACAATATATATTTATTAAAGGGAAAACCATATTGAAGGTACCTATACTTTTTCTTCATTTTTAATTTGGTACCTATGTGTTTTTTTCCCTTTATTAAAAATAACTAACTTATCTGATTAGTATATACAAATATATATATATATATATATATATATATTGCCATGTCTTGTTTTTGTCTTGTCTTTGCATTATTATTGGGATATAATAAAGAGAAGTTTTCCAGACTCTGTTATGATTTTGGACCAGATGCTGTGATCCTTTCTGGGTTTTGGACATATTTGGAGAACGACGTGTGATCGTGACAACATGTAAACAGTCCAATAATTTTCTCTCAATCATTACATTACAGTAATATCTTTTCTAAACATCTAAAATTATCATAGCCCAAGAGAGATCATTATATTTTTTTATTTTTTCAGAAGACACTTCAATTATTGTATTAAAAAAACAAAAGCTACAATGTATAAGAGGTTATCAAATTTTACCAGAAGATTTCTTTCTCTGCTAGTTTTCAGGCCATTAATCAATATGTCATTTCAAAATTTTCTAACTTGGTGATGGCTCTGTTCTGGGGGGTGATGCCTAACTCCACCCAACTTGTGGTGGGATCACATGGCTTATTACTTGAAATGTCCATGTCAATATGACAATATGTATGTATGTATAAATACCAACTAAAAAAACTACAATATCATATTCTCAATATAATTAAGAGTTAGAAACACTACTTTGAAAAGATTAAAAAAATTAATTAAGTTGATCATTTATAATAAATACGTATTGACTTTCTTAAAGTACCGTCTTTAATCGTATGCATTGAAACTATTATTTGATAATAATAACATACAATCAATAGGTATGTTTTGAAGAAAAAATAAATTTGTGGGAAAAAGTGGATAAATATATTATATTTAAGACCAAACTTAGTCTCCAACTAGCTCTTACATTAAGTACCAGAAATAGTATAAAATTTTTAGGATGTTATATAGCAGAAAAACTACAAGCAAAATTTTGTGAGACAAAATTAGGTCTTACATCTACATTGTTTTACCTACTTAAATTGGTTAATGAGATCTTACCGGAAGAATATGTTATACAGCTCAGAAACTACAAACAAAATTTGGAAGAGATCATATAGTTTTCTATTTATTTCAAGTAAACTTTTATAATTTTTAAAAGTTTACCTCCTTAGTTTTAAACAAAAATGAAAATCATGAGACTTTCCGCTGAAAGATCAAATTATAATTCATATGCTAAACTGTGAAAATCTCAGGTTGGCAAAATAACACTGTAGAAAAACTGCATATTAATTAATACTAACTTTTTTTGGGTAAGATTTCACTTATTAACAGAGCTGGAAAGTGCAATAAGTTAGGTAAATAATATATTTTTTTCCCATAAAAATTGCTCAAAAATCCCCCCGCCACAAAAGTTTTCCAAAAATACCATGAGGACCTAGATATTTGAGTGACTATACCCAATATTCCCTTGCGTACCATATACTTTCACCTATATACAAATATCTTACATTTTATGCATAATTGAATATAAATTACACATAGCTGGAAAAATTATACTACCTCAGGTCCTTAATATAATATTTAATTTAATTTTTATTTTGATCATAAATATAAGACCACAATCCACTTTGTCTTATATATTTATGCATTTTTTTGTGAAATAGTCCTTCTAATAATGGTAGTTCTAGCCAATACATTTAATTAACAAGGATATTTTGGGAAAGACAGCATCTATTTATTGTAAATAACTAACTTAAATTATTTCCTTAATCTCCTCAAATTAGTCAACTAGTTTTTATAATTAAGACCAGAGGTAGTTTCTTCTAAAAATAGGTTGCAGTTATAATTACTTAAATTCTTAAACAAATTTAAGGTAGGGTGATAAATTTTGTAACAGGGCATTTTTAAGTAATTTTACTTATTTTCTGTTGCTAACAATAAGTTACGTATATTAATAATCTAGGTATTAAAAAAAACACAAAATAAAAGTAATTACAGGCTGATACGGTTATGCGCGCGCGGCGTGGCGTCCTGGGAAGCTGTTACTGCGAATCTCAAGCTTCTCTATCAAATCTTTAAAACTTGTTTTTTCTTCTCTTCTTCGTTCTTCGCATCATCTTCGTCTTCTTCCTCTTGATTGCAATCTCCAGGCCGCCTTCGCTTTATCTGTCTCCATTTTCCAGATTCAGTTTTGGAGAATGAAGGCAGAATCATCTCGCAAACGGACCCTCTGCCTTGCCGTCACAGCGGCTCTGGTCATCGCAATCGTCATAATCATCGTGATTTTAGGCTTCACGGTGTTCAAACCAAAGCGTCCGGTCGAAAATGTTGATTCCATAACTCTTCAGGAGATGCATGTCGGTCTCGATGTGGCCAAGCTCATCGTAGATCTCAACATCACCCTCGGCATCGAAGTCTCCATTAGTAACCCCAATCACGTCGGCTTCAAGTACTCCGACTCCAACGCGCTCCTCAATTACAGAGGCCAGCTCGTCGGAGAAGCTCCTATCCCTGCCGGCGAAATCACCGCCGGCGGGAACCAAACCATCAAAGTCAGTCTCACCATTATGGCGAACCGCCTCCTCTCTAATTCTCATCTTCTCTCCGATTATTTCTCAGGTTCGTTGCCTCTGAGCACTTGGATCACGATTTCTGGGAAAGTGAGCATCTTAGGGTTAATTCATGTTCATGTGGTTTCAACTTCGTCCTGTGATTTTGCCATCGATATCTCCAACAATACCATAGGCCATAAAGAATGCCGTTACAAAACTAAACTAACTTAATTCGGTGCTCTTAGATCTTCAATTTCTACCCTCTTTTTTTTTTTTCCTGTTCATCTGATTGAAACATCTATTGTACTTATTTGTAGGATTAGCTAGGCATTCTTTCTGGCTCTTATTTGCTTTAACATTCAACGTTTATTTGAGGCCAAACAAAAAAAAAAAATCAACGTGTATAAAATTTTCATTTCAATTTAATTTAATCCCTCAAGAGTTTGCCTTCATGCTTGTTATAATGTTATGAGAGAATTTTAATCAAGTCCCATAGAAGAGAAATAATTACTAAAAAGTCCTAATAGCAACCTAAACAGTCTGTAATGACAAGTCCTATGAGAGAAATAATAATCTAGGACTTGTTTTGTAATTTTCTTTTTATAAGACTTGATTA